CTAACCACTTCTACATCCAACTTCTCCCCTTCCATCATCTGATTCATGGTGAAAAACCTTTCAACGCGAAAAATCCAACCATCGAGGTTGTCTCCATCAAAGACTGGCATTTCCACCCGTCGCGTTCAGAATTCCGCACGGCCTCCACCCTCCCGTTGCCGATCTTCCCTCAGCGCCGGTGGTTCCGCCGCCATGCCATCCGCGGCCCACGGTGGCTCATGATTGGCCGATTCCCTCTGCCTCATCAATTCATCCAACCTCTCGAGCAACAACTCCATTCCTTGCTCCAGTCTAGGTATTTTCTTCAAATCCTCTCGAATTCCTTCCATTTCTTTATGGAATTCATCTCGAGATCCTTCCGTCTTTTCCTTCTCACGATCGTCGGTGCATCTCGTCATTCCCATACGTCACTACTCTGATACCAAATGATAAGCTCCAAAACCAATTGTCAAAGAAATTGGCTAATCGAAAGAGAATTAGTATTACTGGAAACCGAATTCAACAATGGCAGACAAAGTTGAGTTAAGAACGGTATGGGAATTTTTGAGAGATTCCGTGCTTTCCTAACAAACTTCTTGTGAAAGAATAACAAACTGGAATAATCCTCTTCTAACCTACCTCTGTCTTATTTATACACCTACCTATATTCCCTTCACAAACCCCAGCCTAACTAACTTCCCGCCCTTTAACTACTTTGCTGGTCTACTACTTGATGACGTGCTGACTCAACCATCCCATCTGGCGTTTCACCCACAAGCTAACTTGTTGACTCAGTTTTCCCCCTGGCCCTTCACGGAATACCCCCTTGTGCCTCTTTCGAGCATATGTGAAACACACAGGAGGCTTATCATATGCACCATCAAATTATGTAATAAAGCATGCTTCCTTTTTTGCATGTATGAGCTTTTCGATTCATTCCAATGTAATTGGCCCTTCACGGGTTGTTCAACTCTCTTGGCGACCAAGGTCAGGTACATAGATGAGCTTCTTATTTGATGCTTGTTAGTTGTTACTTCTTTATATTTCATACACGAAAAGGGTTGTCATTTCATAGTGTCGGAAGCTTTCTGTATCCATATATCATATGAGGTTCCAATTCAGTCTTCCTTGAGATGCATATGCAGTATTATCTGGTATTCTGAGTTTGGTATTCTTTGAAATAGGGTCTTCTTGTATCAAGATTTCCTATCGGATGAGGAGTGTGACTACCTAATTTCTATGGTAATTATATACTCTCCCGTGCTGCCTTGCCTTGCTTTCGATATCTCGATTGTTTATGCTTTGAACAGTTCTTTAAGATGTACACTTGCTTAGGTACATAAAGGAAGTGAAAAATCTTCAAGTGATGGTAATGGCTCTCAGACTTTGATGATTAGTGAATATTGGCATCAGACACCATACAAGTAATGCCTCCAGATTTTCAATGTAAAAATTATAGCAGCCCAACTCCAGGTCATTAGTAGGATAGTTCTTCTTATAATCCTTCAATTGCCTTGATGCATAGGCAATTACTTTTCCATTTTGCATTCAAACTGCGCCGAGTCCCATCTTAGAAGCATCACTATATATTACAAAACCTTTATCCCTTTCTGGAATAGTCAAGATTAGAGCACTGGTGATTCCCCTATTTAGCTCTTGGAAGCTCTTCTCACAGTCTTCGTTCCATTCAAACTTATTCCCTTTTCGGGTAAGCATCGTAAGTGGAATGGCAAGCTTCAAAAAATTAGCTACAAACTTACGATAATATCCAGCTAAATTAAGAAAACTCTTTATCTCACTTACATTGGTTGGTCTTCTCGAATTGCTAACGGCTTCAATTTTTGCAGGATCCACCATCACCCCCTATTTGGAAATCACATAGCCGAGGAATGCCACACGATCCAACCAAAATTCACACTTAGAGAATTTCGCATGCAACTGGTGCTTCTTCAATGTCCGCAACACCGTTCTCAAATGCCTCTCATGCTCCCCTTGAGTCTTTGAAAAAATGAGGATTCATCGATGAACATTATCATAAACTTATCCAAAAACTCCTTGAACACTCTGTTCATCAAGTCCATGAATGCAGTAGGGCGTTAGTCAATCCGAATGGCATGACGACAAACTCATAATGGCCGTAATGAGTTCTAAAGGCAGACTTAGGAATATCTTCTTCCTTAATCTTTAACTGGTGGCAACCGAAACGTAAATCAATCTTCGAGAATACCGTCGCACCTTGCAGTTGATCAAACAGGTCATCAATTCTTGGCAATGGGTATTTATTCCTTATAGTCACCTTGTTAAACTCTCTATAATCGATACAAAGCCTCATTGTTCCAACTTTTTTTTTTTACAAATAACACCAGAGCTCCCCATGGTAAATGACTAGGACGAATGAAACCTTTATCCAACAGCTCTTGAAGTTGCTTATGCAGTTCCTTGAATTCAGCAAGTGCCATGCGATATGGAGCCTTAGAGATTGGCCTAGAGCTAGGTGCCAGCTCAACCTCGAATTCAATTTCTCTATCTGGTGGCAAACCTGGCAAATCATCCATGAAACACCTCACTAAAATCTCATACGACAAACACATCTTTAATTTCTAACTTATCTTCTTTCTTTTTATCAACGATGTTGGCTAAGAAACCGGTACAACCACTAGCTAGCATCTTTTGGGCCTTCATTGGTGACAAAAATAACTTTGTCTTCTTTCTCAGTTCACCAACGAATTTGAATTGAGTCTCTCCTTTGAGGCTAAATATGACCTTACATCTTCGGCACTCAATAGATGCGTTGTATTTCCCCAGGAAATTCATACCTAATATTAGGTCATAGTCATACATCTGGAGCACTATCAAATCACTATAGAATTCTCTATCAACGATACTCATAGGCACTGCTCCCAGCCTATGTGTAGACATCATCACTTCTCTGGAGGGTAGTGTCATACTGAATCCATGACTCAAGACATCTAGATCACATCCTATTCTTTTGGCAAAAAAAGAAGACACAAAAGAGTGTGTGGCTCCAGTGTCAAAAAGAACATTAACATGTTGGTTATTAACAAGTATCTGTAACAACGGTGGAAGTCCCTGCAGTAGCTTCCTCTTTTGTCATGGTAAAGATTCTAGCATTTGTGGTGACGTGAGGGGCCTCAAGTCGGCCCTGAGAAATATGAGGCCCATCAATGGCGGCCTACATGCTGTAGAGCTGAGCTAGTGGGTTCTTCTGTTGGTTTTGCTGGAATGACTAGTAAGTCTTGTTCTGACAGTTCTTGGACAGGTGACCCTCATGACCATAACTGTAGCATAGATTTGTGCCTTGATGACACTTTCCTAAATACATCTTCCTACATTTAGAGCAAGGTGGAACGTTCTTGACTGGTTTGGACGGCTGACTTCAAGGTTGGTGGTTATTTTGATTATTTTAATTAGGAAAGTTTCCCTTCCTCTTGTTGTTATTCCCTTGCCCTCCTTAGGACTTGCTTTGATTTTCAGAGTTCCCACGGTTCTGGTTGTTGTGGCTTTTAGAGGCTTCATTCTGGTGGGCTCATTCTTTCTTACGCTTGTTTAAGTGGTACTCAGCACGAAGGGCACCTTTGACACATTCAGTTGTGGTGGTAGGCGGAGTGATTCCATTGTCAACAATTAATGTAATCTCGGGTCTAAACATCGTGATCATCCTCCTTAACCGCTCCTCCTCAATTGGCACCATAGTGGGACATAGGCGTGCCACTCGGTTAAACTGATTAACAACTTCATTCATAGATAAACCTCCTTAGCGAAAATTGTTGAACTCATCATAATACTTCCTGGTCATAGACATGTTGAAGTACTACTCGTTAAACTCTTGAAGAAATTCTTACTAAGTCATTCGATCTACATCTCTGCTCAGTTCTACTCATTCCCACCAAATCCAAGCATCATCCATCAAACAGTAAGAAGCACACTTCACTTTCTCATTCTCATTTAAGTCCATCAACCCTTGTACCAACTCAATAGACTTCAACCACCCTTGAGCTACCAAAGGGTCAATTGATCCATGGAATTCTTTAGGCTTCATCTTCTTTAACCTCAGGTATAGAGGCTCGAGATTTCCTACAGCCTGAACTTCTTTGTGTTGCACTGGTTGTGGAATTAGTGGATTAGCAGGAACTTTGACTCTGTTCCCATTAGCTTGTAAATGATTGATAAGCACATGTTATTCTTGCAGTTGTCTTTGTAACTATGCTACCACTTCTACCAAATTAAGTTCTGCCACTGTCTCAACTTCAGCTTGTCCACAGCCTCTACCCCGGTCTTCACGTAATTGTGCTATCACCTCTGCTAAATTAGGCTCTGCTGCAGCCTTAGTTCTACCTTGCCCGCATCCATTACCACAGCCATGAGCTCCATGTCCTCGTTCGCGTGCCATCTTATCTTAATCGTCTGTCAGTAATTAAATTTTAATTAATAAGGAAACTCCCTATTTTAAGACATCGAATAAGGATCCACATTTCTATAATTTGAAACCTTAACCTCATAAGACTTTACATTCCATCTAAAGAAACTAAATAACTACTTACTTGGAGAATTTTGGAGTAATGCGTGGCAATACATGATAGAAAATAGGAAACCTCTCTGATACCATATCTATAATGACCCTTCATGGGCCGTCAAAAAATTATGAAATTTTGCATGCACAATCCTTACATTTTTCTAGGCATGTCTACAAAAAATGGCCTCAAAAAATGACAAATAAAGTAAATATCTCATCCTCATAGTAGACATAGCTCTTGAATTAAAAGTTAACCACTATAAATCCTTGTGCGTTCTTACTGCATAATCTCCTCTTAATCATGTTTTTGATCTTCCAAATTGCTAACAATCACCTGTGTGTATAGAACAAAAAAAAAATCTACTCAAAATTCTAAAACTCCGAACTAAAGTCATGAAATCCGAAGAACGCATAAAATATCTCGAACGAAAAATGCTGAGCTAAATGTTTTATATGTAATTGCTGGCTTTTCTAATGTTCTGTTTAACAGGGGCATACAAATAATGTGGTTTTATAAATAGGTAGTTTGCGTTTGAAATTATCCTTGATGCTTTATCGCCTTGATGACATGATGCCCTGTTATCTCTTTGTTAATATTTGGAGTTTAAATTTTTCAGGATATTTTTGGTATTTTAAAATAAGGAGATTCTCTTATAGGTTTGGCATATCGGTAGACTAAGTTTTTTAATTGTTGGATCTGCGTATTTTTTGACTTTTGCGTGATTTTATGCAGATTTGACAAACATAAAACTTGACCTGCCAGTATAGTGACGTACCAGAGAAGGTTCCTTTAAAATATTTGATCGGTCAAATGTTTTATGTTTCTGTTATAAAAAAGTTGGAGAACAAACATTGTATTTAATAAAACCTGTGGGGACACCTTTAATATGATAACATATTACATCTTGTGTTGCTAGGGTTTTCTCTCAAAACTCTTCTTTCTCTTGTACCGTTTCTACAAGCTTCATAGGGCTGGAGTCCAGTGCCGCCCTTGGGCAGGGCTCTAGACTCCCAGCTCAATGAAAGAGTGCATGGATGTCGCTGGTTGGTTTTCTCCGGTGAGGTTTCGACAAGTCCATGGTAGGGAGTCTTGGATGTTATGGGGGTGTTTTCCGGCGTGGGTTTGTGTGCTGCCTCATCACGTGGGTTGGGCCTCATCAATATGGTGCTCCTTTGGACGGGTTTGCGTGTATTGTGGTGGTCGGAGATGGCAGATGGCGAGGAGTGAATGCATCCCTCTTCGATAGTTGTGGGAACGCGCGGGTGTAAGGCGTTCTTCTTTATGCGCAAGCGGGAAACAATGGGTGATTCTCCCTTCTTTTGCTTCCTTTTGGGCCGCCAATAGTGCTGCTTTTTCGGAGCTCATTTTTTGTGGTTGTCGGCCAATCATCAGTTTTCCGGCTGGGGTCATTTGGGCTTTGTCTCTTTGTTTTTATATCTGTCTTTGTCAAGTAAAGGCAATGTCCTTGCAGTTTAGGTTTTGGTTTTTGTTGCTTTGTTGGTTTTCGATTGTAATAACGGAGGTGGTTTCCCCACCTTCCATTATAGTCTTAGTCCTTGTGTCTAGTTCAGTAAGGACTGCTCGAGTGAAGACTCAAGTTTATACTTGAGATAAGCATCAATTCTTAAGTGCAATCCCACCTCCTTGATTCAAGTTCAAGTTCAACCACAATTGTTGACAAAAATTACTTTCCCTTATTTTAATAATAAATTCTAAACAAAAGTAATTACCTCCCATTCATTTTTAACTATTCACAACTCAAGTTTAGGTTACCAAACACATACTCAAATTAAATTCTTAATTCAAAAATTAACTCAAATGTGTTTCTCCAAACACAAACTCAAATTATATCTTCAACTTAAGTTATAACTCAAAATTCAACTCAAAATCTATACTCAAGTCATTATAACTCAAAAATACAACTGAACAAGCCCTTAGTTTATAGTGCGTTTTTTTTTTCTGCTTTTGCTAAAATTGTGGTGCGTTTTCATTGTTACTGAGAAATTAGAGATTTAGATTTGAAAAACATTTTGCTCTTGTAAGACCACATTTCATTTTATTGCATAAAAAATGTCGTTTATAAATGAAAGACGTCGTCCTGCTATTTAAATTTTGTATCTTCTTATTGAGTTTGAAGTTGTCCAATGTTTGCAAAACGACAAGTTGCAGTAACGTAAGTTGCGTTAATTGTTATCTTTTGAAACTTTGTTGTCGTTTTCAGATCAAACAACCCGTGTTTTCTAATTTTTAATTTCAGTTTTGTTATAGTTAAAACCTCTTATAAAAAGTTAAATTTAATTTTTTTATTAGAGTTAAAAACTCTCACATAAAATCATATCTCAGTTCTAATTAAAAATTCGAATCGACCAACTGAAGAATACCTTAATTGTTAGCGGTTGATAAAACGGCACGTGGTAAGATCAAAACGACATTTAAGTTTTTTAGAATTTTGTTCTTTTTCCAAGTACATAAAGTGACATGTCGCTTTAAAAAATGATCTGTCGTTACCCAAAAAAGAAGTGACAATTAAAAATAGTTCATATATTTGACCCTGAATTGATCTCGAATTCGAAAAGATATCACAAATTTCTTGAGGTTTTTTCAAGCGAAACCCTTCTGAGCAAAACTTTAGCGAAAAGAAGAAAAGAGGGAAAAATGCAACAGAGAAGCCCTTCGGGGAACGGACGGTTCAGATTTCTCCTAGCGCACGGTCGTCAACTCTCGTGAGTTTCTTTTTCTATTTCAATTCATCTTCTGAAAATAATAAATCTGCCATTAGAGAAACAAAAACCCCTTTTGTTACAATCTCAGCTTTCTCTGTTATTAACAAGCACTGTAATATTAAAATTGTTGAATTTATGTAATTGGTTTTTTTTAAATCCTTTCTCTCTCCCATTTATGACAACGTGATTCCAATCCGATGGAGATTTTGCCAGCGGAGTTTGTGATTTTTGACAATGTTTTACTTTTTTTTTGTCTTTTTTTAGGCCATTTTTTGCAGACATATTAGAAAAATGTAAGCATTCAATTTTGGTTGAATATAAATCCTGATATCCTAATTAACATCTTTTTTAACTCATATTCTGAAGTCATTGCAATCTTATCTCAATATAAGATAAGTTCATCTCTCTTGTTTTCTTAAAATTTCAATAATCTAGTTTATATATATATATATATATATATACTTTTTTCATATATTTATATACTTTTACAGGTTCAAAATGGTATCTTCAACAGCCTCTTGATCTTATGGTAGTTATGTCTTTATTCTTCTTCCAGGCAGTTAAATAAGTCTTATGTGTTGTTTCCCTAACATCACATGATTTATTTTTACTTGCTCTTTGGATAGAAAAATACATTGTTTGGTTGGATTCTTTCCACCATGGATTGTATCTTTTGATACTTTCTTTCTTCTCTTAAAAAAAAAAAAAAATTGGTGACTCCAAAGCATGGCTTTAGTTGATATCTCCAAAACATGCCTCGAATCAATTCGCCAGGTGAGTGAAGCTTATGCAAGCCCAGTTCTTACTTGTTTGTTGTGAAATGTGAAATGAGACTACTTTATTTATGTTGTAGAAATATAACCAATTTGTTTAAAGTATTTATTTTAAAACTTTAGTACATGGTGTTTGTAACTAGTGCTGAAACTATTTAGTTATTGCTCCAAGTATTAAAACTTGTCATGGTATTAGAAATTGGAGGAAGAATTATTAGGCATTATATGCAGTCTCTGTTGCTTGGCACTTTTGCAGTGTGTTTTGCAAAATACCATGTTGAATGTTCTAATTTTATAGTACCACTACAAACGTCGTTTTCCAGTTTTCATAGTCGACTGAAACATGGGTTAGAACTCAGACTTGAGAAATGTGTTAGTATTGATTTTCATCCATTTTTTCCCCTCCAATTAAAGTGTCATCGTCTATGTGTATTTCTTTTTCAATTATCCTATTCCTTATTATTTGATAAGATCGAAAGGTGGTAAACTTCCTTTGGGAGCACCCCTTGCCAATATGAATTCTAGTGCAGCTATAGCTGGATAAAATGATTGTGTGGAATGTATGTGTTTCTGGTAACATATAGAGACGCATTTTTTTTCCTTATACTGCAGTCAACATTTTCTCAGAGTCTTTTCTTTTTCTTTTTCTTTTTAATTATCTCTCGTAGATATCAGAGCACATTGAAGGTTCAATTCTTTACTTGGATGCTGGATCTACAGAGAGTTTCCAATTTATGGGGGCATTTCCTGTATTATTGGACCTTGGAGTGCGTGCTGTTTGCAGTCTGGAAAGCATGTGTTCCCTTGATCTGGTTAGTTTTTGTTTTTTGTTTCTTTGTTCTTTAGACAAGAATATACGCACTTCATTAAGACCTTACAACAATCATACTTTAGATCATCCTGTTCTTTGGCTACAAGTTAAAAAAAAAAAAAAATACGAAGTTTCTTCTATACACGCTTCTAATTTCAGTTGCATGCCTCTCAGTTCACTTCAGTTAAATATGAAAAGATCTGAATAGGTTACCACTAGCAGAACCAAATCTTGAGCTGGATAATGCAATCTTTCAACTATCAATATATCATTCACTCGACTTGTTATTCAAGTCTGGCAGCTAATGCTTACTTTTATTTCCCCTTTGACTTCTTTTGTAGGTGGTTGATTGGAACTCAGGTTTCGATCCTGCAAGAAAAGTTGTTGTCATCACATCTCGTCTACTGAGTGATGCACATCGATACATTTTACGTTGCCTAAGCACACATCAGGGTGTTCGTCAGTGTACTATATTCACATCTATTTCAGAGGTGCTTCTTTATAATTAGATTTTTTTTTTCCTTCATCTGTGTGTTTCATTTTGTGTACTGTTATAATTAATCATGTTTAGTGCTTTGCTAATTGTAGATAGCTCATTCAGCATATCCTGATTCACCTCTAGGACCAGATGCATTTCATGAATATGAATCCTTGCTTATCCAAGATTATGAGGAGCTTGCTAAGAAATATGTCACGAAGTCCGGACAACCAGAAGGTAGCAACTTAAAGGAGAATTTGACATCTGAAGAAGAAGGATGGTCGAAACTCACTTCTGATGGAGACGATGTTCTCCACCTTGATGTGAGTCCCAGTGGAAGAGATGCTTACAAAGATAATCTTTTGGATGGCACTGAAGATGTAGGGAAAAAGTTGGTTGTTTCCGTGCAGCACTTCCCAACAATTTTGTGTCCTCTTTCACCAAGAGTCTTTGTTTTACCTTCAGAGGGATCAACTGCTGAAGCATACTTGTCGGTTGAACATGAGGAAGCCTTTAGTCCAGGATTGCCTCCCTTAAGAACTGGCGCACCTTTTGATGGTGATGATACACCTCCTGGAGCAACTCTTACTGCAAATTTTCTTTACCATCTTGCGTCCAAGGTTATAAGTCCAAAGCTGTCTGAACGTGTATATGCTTTGCTTTTTCCTGTTTCATCTTCTATAAATAAAATAATGTGTTTAAAGTCTAGATTTCTTTTATGTTAACCTTGCTAAGATTGATATAATTTTTGAGTTATTGTATAAAAGCTGAAATAACCAAAACGCTGTGACTGTTGAAAGTTAAAGTAATTAAAGTTTTCCGCATGATTATTTCCACGACATATGATCCTTTAAGAGTTGCAGATAATTCCAATTAGAACACTTTTAACGTTTTCACAATTGAAAAGGAAACTTTCTTTTATGCCTAGATAGAACTACTGTATAGTGCTATGGAAGTAGTGTATATATATATAATTAGATGCATTTTTGTAACTACTTCTAAATTATCGGCCTGAATTCCCACCTTGAGTGGTAATTCATTGCGTTTCTAGTTTTGAATGCTTTAGTTGTTGACTTTATTCTGAGCTATGAGTTTATTGTTAATATGCAGATGGACTTGAAGATGGAAATCTTTTCCCTTGGTGATCTGTCAAAAACTGTGGGAAAGATTTTTACAGACATGTCAAGTCTTTATGATGTAGGCCGACGCAAACGCTCCGCTGGGCTTTTGCTTATTGACCGCACTCTTGATCTCCTTACCCCATGCTGTCATGGGGATTCACTTGTTGATCGTATGTTTTCATCTTTGCCTCGAAGGGAGAGAACAAAATCCTACACTCAAATAAAAAGCTCAGAAAGGAAATTGACAAATGTCCCTTCCAGTGTACAACGCGCTTCTCTTGATGTCCGCATACCACTTGCTAATGTTCTAACTGAAGAAGACAACAAAATGGATGATTTCTGGCTCTTGGAAAGCATTGAAGCTTTTCTGAGTGGGTGGGACTCCAGCAATTCCGCTTCTCAAATTGTAGACTTGGTTAATCTCAGAAACAAAGTCCATGATGGAAAGAATCTTCGCTCAGAGATGGAGCTTCTAACTGGGTCCTTTGTCTCCAGTGATAACTTTCGGGGAACTCCATACTTGGAAGCCATACTAGATAGAAGAACAAAAGATGGATCCGTACTAGTGAAAAAGTGGCTCCAAGAAGCAATTCGGCGTGAAAATCTAACTGTAAATGTGAGAACTCATCCTGGTATTGCCACAAAATCAGAATTGCAAGCTATGATTAAGGCATTGGCTAAAAGTCAATCAGCTTTACTGAGAAACAAAGGAATTATTCAATTAGCAGCGGCAGCACTGGTTGCCCTTGATGAATCGAATTCTGCAAGATGGGATGCATTTATTAGTGCTGAGAAAATGTTGAGTGTAAGTGCTGGAGACACGAGCCAGAGTCTCGCTGCTCAAATTGGTGATCTCATCAATAAAAGTGCTTTGGCGGGGTCACATGGAAGGAAGAATGGGAAATCAGAGGCCTCTGAAAGGGTACTTTCTTTTGAAGACTCTCTGCTCCTTATGATTAGTGGATATATATTGGCTGGTGAGAATTTCCCAACATCAGGATCTGATGGCCCTTTTTCTTGGCAAGAGGAGCAATTCTTGAAAGATTCCATTGTTGATGCCATTCTTGAAAACCCAGGAGTAGCAAAACTGAAGTTTCTTAATGGTCTGATGGAAGAGCTTGAGGGAAACCTTAACAGGATCAAATCAGAGGAAAACAAAGCATCTTCTGTTAAACTAGAAATTGATGATTTTGATGATGATCAGTGGGGAAAGTGGGGTGATGAAGATGCTGATGATGGTGAGGACACTGGTAATAAAAGTAGGTATGGTGACATGCAGCTGAAGTTGGAGTTGCGCGACAGGGTAGATACCCTTTTCAAATTCCTTCACAAATTATCCAGTTTGAAGAGGAAGAATAAACCACTGCGAGATGGAACACTTTCTTCCGAGAGTAATTTTGGTGGAGCTCCCTACGCAAATAAAGGACTACTCTATAAACTTTTAACAAAGGTTTTCAGCAAGAACGATGTTCCCGGGTTGGAATACCATTCTTCTACCATGGGGCGACTCTTCAAAAGCGGATTTGGAAGATTTGGCCTTGGCCATGTAAGTTCTACTCGCATGACGTCTTTCACATACCTTGCTTCAATACTTCATATATGCTAAACTATACTTGCTAAAATTTACAGGCAAAACCGAGTTTGGGAGACCAAAATGTCATTATGGTTTTTGTTGTCGGTGGCATCAACGGGCTTGAGGTTTGGATTTCTTGAAGTCTTTCAACTTACTTTTCTTCTTGTTTCCATTTTTTGTCTCCTTTCTTTTGCGAAATGCTGCCTTTTGGTGACTTCCTTGGATTTGATAATTTCTTTTATAACATTGCTTTTATTTACTTGAGAAAGAAATCTGACGTCATATTCCGTGTGTATAAATAACAAGGTGCGCGAAGCTCAGGAGGCGTTATCTGATAGTGGAAGACCAGATGTAGAATTGGTACTTGGTGGAACAACATTCCTGACTCCTGATGACATGCTTGATTTACTACTGGGAAGTTCTTGTTATATGTAAAATCTCGAAATGATGCACAGAAAAAACTAAAAGGGTCCTAATGGAGGGTGTTTTTTCTTTTTTCTTCTTTTTTTTTTTCTTTTTTTTTTTTTTCTTTTTAAACCCCAACTGAAATTCATTTGTTGCCAATTGGCACAGTGATGACAAAGGAAAATGAGAGTTCCACCATATTGGCCATATCTTATATAATCATTTGCCACTACATCCTATTATCATCACGGTCCTTTTTTTAGTTTATTTTGACAAGAATATTATCATCCTGGTCTTGGTATACGAATAATTTCCCCTCAATATTGGAAAATAACTCTCTCAGTTCATCACTGTTATTTTCTGTTTGGTCCTTTTTCCCTTAGGCTTGACAAGCAATTGATTTTCTGCAAGACATTGAACAACAAATCGACTGTCTTTGATTCCACAGCAGCAAACGGGGAAAAAGAAAGTGCACATCAGGCAAATTCGGTTAACTAGTTAACTATTGATTCTATAAGATGTAAAATAACTTTAGTATCTTTCTATTTAATTAACCAAAAACTAATAAATTTAAAAAAAAAATCATGAATTTTATTTTATTATTTTCTTTTAAATATTTTCATGTTTTAAAATATTTTCATGTTTTTTTTTAAAAAAAAAAAGTGATTTGTATTTAAGTAATAAGAAGGGTAGTTTGGACTCAATGGCCGGAGTATTCTCTCTTTTTCTCTCTCTAGGCGATTAGGGTTTCGAGTTTGAGATATCTCTTCTAAAGGCCAGAGTTTGGCACCGCCAACTGGACTCTTGGCGCTTGAGACGGTGGTTGAGATCGTGCCGGTGTGTTCAGTGGTTGATGGGCGCGGTCCATTGGCGATGGAAGCGTAAATCTGATGAGTTGGAGCATGGTATCGTCGTTGCATTGGGGCAAGGAGCGGAAGGTTTTTGGCGGATATGTGACGTAAGGGTGTCGTTTGGGTTATTTTTGCATTCAGCATCATCGATGGCAGTTGCGATTCTGCTGCAATGGCTCGGCTCATATTTGGTTTTTTTGGTCTTCGTATAATGGTCGTTGACTTATCGCTAGTGTCTTTTCCTGTGAGGTTGAGGCTATTTGTAGTTTTCAATGCGTTTTGTTAATTTTAATAAAGGCGATGTTTATGTGATTTCCGCACATTCTGATTTTGTTTATGTGTCACATCAGTCTGAGTTATTTATTAACGGTGTGTCAGTTTATCGTGTCATTTGTGTCTCCAGTACTAGGGGTTTGGTTTCAATCGACTAGTTTTATCCATCGACTATAATGATTTTTTTAATGAGTTTTGGTCGAACTCGATTTTGTTTTTACTGAGCGGGTGTTTGCCCATTGAGTCTCGATACTTGTGTTTGTTCTTATGTTTCATTCGTATTTGTTGATGGTCATTTTTGTACAAGGCCTGTACAAGTGTCCAGGCCCAATAATTCTGTCTTGTGACACTGTTAGGCTCACTTCGTGGACCTAAGCCATGTTCGGGGAACTCGCGTGGGCTGTGATTTGGTTGGCCGTGGGCAATCGAATGAGCCTATTTGTGTTTTAGTCCGATCCGATTTTAAGTCCTGTTTGGGGAGTTTTAAAATAATTGAGCTAAGGCATAGATGGGTGATGGAGAATCCAAACCCCAAAAAATCCTTTGTTCACCTTTTAAGAGTCTTAGAAGCCCTTTCCTCAGCCTTTGAAGACTCGAAAGTCCGGAATTTAATTCGTGGAACCTTCCCTTCCAACACCAAACTAGAAGTTTTTCTGCTCCGAAGCGGGCCAAGGATTCATCTCCGTGGCAGTTGTTGCTTCGGAGGCGTCACTGTGGATGCCACCACAGAGGCATCATTGTAGATGCCCTCACGAAGATGCTTCCCATGCTTCAAGAGACTCTTTTGAGATTGAAGATACCTCCCCTGCTTTGAGAGACTCTTCTATGTCTGAAGGTCCTTCCCATGCTCCATGGTGGTTGAATGTGTCAGGCACTCCAGCGACGGTTGTTTAGGCAAAAATGGAACGCGCTCTAGAACTGGTCTGATGTGTGTTCAGACCTTCGAGAATAGAAGCGTTCTCGGAGCACTAGACTTAGTCAAACACTCATGCGCTCCAAACCTAGGGAAGGTCCAATGTCAGTGAGAATTTCAGATTTGGTCTCCAAATACACCCATTTTTGACCAATTTGTTTGTCAAAGAGGAAAGCCGCCTGATGCAGGTGCTCCGGAGGGAAATGGTTCGTACAAGTCTCTTGCCGTGATTGTACGGCTCCGGAGCGACCACTAAAATCTCCCAATCTCCTTCTATAAATACCCCCATTCACCAGAACTTTATAACAACACTCAGACCATTCATATACTTGACCATTTGAGAAGGTCTCTTCCTTGGCCAAAACTTTGAGTGATTCTCTTCTGAGAGTTCAAGTCTTTTGTGCTAAAGACTTAAGTTCTTCGAGCTCGTGCTATTCGGGCTCGAAGATCTTCGAGTGAGTTCTGAAACTCTGCCCAGATCTTGAGCGTTTATTATCAAAAAGTCTCAAAATACTTTATTTGATCTATCCAAACCATCTACAAGCTAGATTCAAAGTTTCTGAGGTTTCTCTGAGAGTCTGAAGATTCGTTGGACTCCGCCGCTCCGGAGCACACTTTCAGAAAGCCGTAAAACTTCTTTTGTTAACATCTTCTTTTAGAGAAACGTGTGTTCCTCCGAAGTGGACTTTGCCTCCTCTGTTGTAAGTCCGTAAAACTTGCTCACATAGCGACCCGCATTCCTCCGGAGTGAGAATTCACCAGCTCTTCCAAATAGTCTTATCCTCACCAATCGAGTCATACATTCGCTCTGAGGCAACTTGCACTTGTTCTCAAAGCACTTCTCTAAATAAGACTTATCCACACTCTTCGAGTCAAATCTCCATCAACTGTTCAGTTACTCCTCCCACCATACTTCGTACATGCGATCTCTATGACTATATCTGAGTCTTCCCATGCATAAGTTGGCGTCTTGGTAAGGTGGCGACAAATTGGGCCATAGAATCCATTTTTTCAGCTTACTTTGGGCCTAACTGATCCCCTCTTCTTAGTTGGAGGTCATATCGTACAAGCTCTTTGTGGATGCGACATGTTTCATCTGCATCTAGGGGTGGCAATTCGTGTCACGTGTCGTGTTCGTGTCATGTTTTGATTGTTTCTTTCTAAATTTACAGTTAACCCGAACACGACCCGTGACATGAAATTTTTTAAAAACTGCAACACCAACATGACACGACCACTTTATGGGTTGACACAACATGACACAAAAATGACATGTGACACGAAATTGACCCGTGAACCCGAAATTGACACGAAAATTGTATACTTTTATTTAATTTTTTACATATTAGAAATAACTTAAAATTCATAAGACACTAAAATACAATAGCATCCATTGAAATTAAGTAAATAATAGTATAAGATTTTGAGTATAACTATCATGATATCACAAGTTCATAATAAAATAAAAAATATGTGATGAAAAATATATATATTTTTTAGTTTTTTACGAGTTTCGTGTCGTGTTCGGGTTAGGCGGATCCAACCCGAAATTGACCCGTGTTTTTCGTGTCAATTTCAGGTCGACCCGAACTTCTTTTTTCTCAATCCTAACCCGTAGAATTTGTTGGGAATAGTGTCCTAGAAGCATAAGATGTAAAAGGATATTTATTATTTATTTAATAAAAGAGTTTATTCATCATTTTATGTGCATATATTTATGAATATTTTATGAATATCAAATAAAATTCCTTGATTATTTATGTAACCTTAAACATGGTATATAAGTGTTGTATACGAGAGGATAATGTTTAAGGATAATAATCAAAAGTAATTGTTCATAATGAATTTAATTAAAGTTCAGAATCTTTAATTAAAACATTATTAATACATGTCATTCCCGTTTAGAATGGAACGGTGTTATCCGCACTGTTAATATGACGAGATATTGAATGAGTGTATTTCGCATAATGAGATTATGTGGAACATGGACACAGACACAATATGAATTTCTAATAATTTCCGTTAAGCATAGAAATTCTAATTGAGTCTACCGATGGTCATA